CGGACGGATGGACGGACGCAGGAGTGGATGCATGGACGAACGCAGGGACGGACGCACAGATGGACGTGCGGACGCACGAACAGGCGCACGCACGGACGGGCGGCCACACAGACGCACGCATGGATGGACGGAAGCACGAACGAGTGGACGGACGGATGCTTCGCCCCACTCTCCATCATTCACTCCGTGGATTTGCTGCCATTTTTTTATGAGTTCGAGCGTCCTCTCATAGCTAAGAGGTGATCAGCCTTTATTCTTAGAGCTGCCAACGCACCAACCGAAAATGCACGGACACCATCTACGTCAGCAACGTTAGTTGAACTCGTTCATACACACTCGCAACTTGCATTGCTTTGCTCACGATCTGTTCAACTTCCCAACGAAAGGTGTACTCGACGCTGCTAACTCAGACTCACGCTGGCTGAACTTGGACTGAGCGTGTCTTCCTCGGACTCGAGATCGCCAACGCATTTTGCCCCGCGCACTGAGGCCTTCTCGTGAATTGTATATCAGAAGGAAGAAAAACAGCAGAGAAAAGGCAGGGATGCTAACCAGCTTAGCAGAACCGATATATGCTATCCTGCAAAGAGGCAAGACACGGAAGAGATCGAAATAAGACTAAAAAAAGAGAAGCCTACTGAATAAGCACGAAAGATTAAAATTCTGTAAATTTGAACGCTTTATGATAGGCGTTGCAACTTATCCCAGGCATACAGTAAAGTTTCTAATTACCGGTGTACCGCATTGTCTTTTAAAAAAACTAGGACAGAGAAATTGTCCTACATAGTACGCCAGTGAAGCCAACGTTTCGACAAACCGACTTGTAGTCGTCAATGCACCAAGTGGATTCCACAAGCGCGAGAAGTGTACTGTCTTCGGATCGAGGAGTTGCTGCACACACACAAAAAAAAAAACAAAAAAAACACTTGACCTTTCCTGTGTTATCTATGCTGTTCTGCGTAGTACAGATGGGCCTAACTATCATTCCAGTATAATTGTTTTTTTTCTTATCTTTTACAGATACATGTGGGATAGTAACATAACAATAGTCAAATATTTGAAGACTCTTACAGCAAAATATTTCTGCTTACGAATACTGGTAACTCATTCAGTAAACGATATCCAATGTGTGATTCGAACGTTTCAAACACTCGCATACCATTGATTACATTTTCTATTTAGTGTTAATTTCAATCAGCATGTTATTCTTACTCTGTGAAGGATCGGTCAGATTCGAGGACAGCGCTTCACGTCAAACGAAGTGCCATAAAAATAGCATAAAACTATTATTGCACTGCGCAAGAAGATCGGTATAGTGGGAGGCATAGTCCGGGGTCTCATTGGCGCGTGCCGTTGTCCTCGCACGTTTCACCAGAGCCTCTAGTACAAACTTGTTTTGGTCGCGTCATGCTATACGGTAGATGTCGACACCAACAGCCACAGTCAGTGCTGATGTCCCCATACGATGGCTGCACTAAATTCCACTTGCTAGGACTACGTGCATTCACACTCTGAGCGCTCATTATGGACTTGAAAATATAGTAAATTGCGTGTTCCAGTGTTCTTTGCGAACTACATAGCCAATCCGACTTGTAATGCGACCTGTATGAACAGTACAGAATATATCGTCGAAACTCGTGGCCTTCGCTCGAATGCCACGAGCGCTCATTGTAGACAGTCTCAGGAGGCACCATGCTACGGTGAATATCCACACCAGGAGGCAGAGACACTGCTGACGTCCCCACACAACGCCTGCACTGAATCACACTTGCGACGTTAAACAAAACGTTTAATTGATGTTCTGCGAAAGAAATTCGGTGAAGGGTATTCTGGAGGCACAGCGTTAGAGTGCCTCGAGCGAGTTGCGGAGGAACGAGCGCATCAAGGCACGTTAGACACAAGCGCCGTCTGGCAGTTATTTTCGAAAACGAAGGCGTGCAGCCCGCGGAGAAAGGTGCGCGCCAGTCTCGGGGGTGATAAGGTGTAGAACGCAAAGCGACGGGCAGGTGCCACCCCCATGACGTCGTAGCAAAGCGTTGGAAACAACTTTTTGAGCGTGGCGTTGCACTGTCAGCGCAGCGCGCTAATACGCTACATTAAGGTCCTTAGAGTTACTTGTGCGCACCTCTTCTAGTATAAAGGCAGACATAGAAAGCATCGAAGTGTTGTTGTGGCGCCTCAGATATACGCAACAATTGCTTTTTAATTGACAATGGCACAATTATGAACGCGTAAACCTTGAGCAATATTGGTGGGCGCTGCGAATGGGGTTGGCCGTTTGGGGTATCGTTAGGATGGACAGACAAATGTACAGACAGGCCAAAATTTTTCCGTCTAGGAAAAGTCCACCGACAAGCTCAACTGGCCCACGGCGCAGGTTTTCAACCACATAACCCATTCTTACCAACACTCACAATAGTACATAGATGTATTAAATGCTAATCTCACTAGTTAAACTTACTAGTACATAGCATGTGTATATAGAACTGATTTGACCTTGAGAATGCTGCAGGACTGCAAACTTGAATTTTCAAATTTCTATATTACTTGAGCAGATGTGGGTGCCCAGTGGTTACAGGACAACACAAACGCCAGAAGACAGTTTTTAGCATGCTGCAAGAACCAGTCTCACAAAAAAGATAACAGCACTGGCACAGCGATCATAGCTATAGGAATTATGGTCATAGTAGCACTTACTACTTTACACTCGTGCTATCTCAAATTGCCAAGAATAGCAAATTATTCTGCTCAGCCGTCGTGTAGATTTTAGCACAAGTTTTAACCACGCAACCAGTTTCACTGGGCAAACACCGCTAAAGGAGGATTAAAAGACATGCCACAAAAACAAAAGCGTTCCTACTATCATTCTTTCATGTGAGGTTAAAAAAAAAGAATCCTCGGCCCACACCATAAACATATAGCAGGACGTTCCTACTATCAGCTGAAATGCAACATGGTGCTAGTATTCAGATGCCTATTCAAGACAGTAGAATGTAAAATTTTAAAAATTAGAATTGCTACAACGACCAACCACTCGTATAAACAGTGATTATGTAAAGAGTTGTGCAAAACAGGCCTACATTTTCTAAGGCATACACAGTGCATAGTATTACTTCTGCCGCATGCAAACTGAAGAGCAAGGTTCTCATGAAGTTACTTTTTTCTGGTGACAGCCCCGTTTGCCTAAGACTACGGCCACCTAGTATTTTCCCGAAATTCACTCCATAAATTGTGAATCAAAAACGCTTTCCCTGATGCTTATTACTGTACCAGAAGCCCAAGTGGCGCTATATTTTTACGCATTCTGTTTACTGTCTGGAACTATTCTAATGACATCTGTACTTTCACAACCTAGGACTTCATTGCATGGCGAGGTGTCTGCAGCTATGTTTTATGAAGACTATCTTTAAGTATTCAGTTTTTGGACAGTTTATAAAACAGGGTTAATAACTAGTCCTTTGTGTTTCCAATCTAACTTGCAATCCACTAAAGTTGCATTAATTACAGGCTTGTTATTTGACTTCAGCACGTTTTCCAACATGAATTATTGCTGCGGTAGACAAGAAGAACAGACACGCCAGAATGCTGGGGCACCAGGCATTCTCAACAAAATCCCATTCTACTGCAGCATGTGGAATCGAAGACTGATCATTGTATGGCCATACAACTTCAAATGTAAGCAGCTCGGAAGAACTTTTATGGGTGTCATTGTGTGCATGACTAGTACAATATGGTTTGTAAAAAAAAACTACAGTAAAACCTCTGCAATACAACCGCAGCTTGTAGGAGTTTGATACGAACATACACCATCCGTGCTGTTGCTAATGACATAGTAATTTGTGCGCACTGAAAGTAACACACAGGCATGCGCCCCACACCGTGCAGGCAGTTCACTATCAGCAACGTGTCATAGCTTCAATTCGTGCTTAGATTACATATCACTGCATGATTTTTTTTGACAAGCCATTCCCACACTTTTACCAATGCCTGCCATGTCCTTGCAATCAGACATCCTATGAAAGATGGACGAGGACTAGAAAAAAAGCAGACAGCTTTGCAACGTTCTGGACCCACACACCTGCCAACTCCGATTTCCACAGAAGACTACCGAATTTGGAGCAAACCTCGCAATGGTCCAAACACTACTATAAATCTCCCGAATAACATTGCCAACACCACAGCATCATGAAAATAAGAGCAGAGGAAAGCGGTTTTGGATTTTTCACCCTGCGGAAAAGCATCCCAAGATTTGGAACGGGCTGTCGCAGATCACGACACAACAGGTTCATTAATTACATATGCATGAAAGTGCCTATATTTTAAGAGCATGCATGATTATTGACATTTTAATTAAAAACTTCACTATCATTCAGAGATGTTCATGACATTACTGCTGCTCTGAGACACCATAAGTAAAAATGTATGCCAGCTTTCTTTTGTTGTATACTAATTTTCATATTTTATGGTGATACAAATGTTCTTGGTGACCCCACAAAATTCGCATTACCAAGGTTTCACAGTACTATGAAGGGGTCCATTTAAGTACATTTGGCACAATTATGCCTGGTAACTACTATAGCACTTTTCTCTATGCCCAAATGACTACCCAAAAAGTAGTTCTGACATATATGGTTGGAAACTGTACTTGAATATCTTTTTTAAAAAAGCTGCATGAAATTTTTCTATAGTGTGCCATGGTTGACCAAGAGCAGTACAATGCTACAACTAGCGATTCTGCTAATAACCTTGCAGCCTTTATTCGAACAGTCACGCAAGCCCACATTTAATAATGGCGGTTACACTGGCCCAACTGAGTAACGATATGGGGATAAATTGGCACACTCCTTATTAAAAGCCCCCCCCCCCCCACCCGAATGTTGCGCGCTCGCTGTCTATGATCTTTGCAGCTTTGTGACAAACTAGACATCTTTTTGAGGTGTCAGTGTGATGAATCGCTTGAAAGCTGTGAGCTCGCTCTCAAGAAGATATCAAAGAAGCTCTTGTGACGGCTTTTATACACGTTTATTTGCCACCAGATGCGGATCCACCAGCAACTGCGTGCTTCTGGGACTTGGGAAGACCTCCCTCACGGAAACCGTTCCTGAAAGACAAACACCAACACATTTTAAAACATCTTCCTAAAAGTGCAGCCAAAATTGTAAATGCTATTGCTCATGTTACCAATCTACACTATGCTTACTATACCTACTTCATTGCAATGCTGCCTCTAATATAATGAACTTTCAACGAGCTTGTTCATTCAAAATGAAGCTAGTCTAGTCTGATGTGAACATTGAGTGATTCTATATAATCTAATCTAAACAACACTTTTCTTTAAATATTTAAGATATACTTCAAACATTGTGGCATTTTACGGCAAGTTTTATTTGGTGCTTTTCAGCTTGACCTTTTATGAATGCACAGAACCAATAACTGAAAATATAACTTTTCCATGTTAGTGAACAACTTTGCCACAGATGACTACAAGAAAATGGGAAAGGGGGGGGGGGCTCATTTCGACTCTCTAAAATAATAAAGCACCATAACATTATGCTACATGGCTCCTAGACACGTGGCTGAGCAATAAGCCGCATGCCTGTCCTATTTCACTTGTATTCACACTCGCAAATGGCACCACAACTGACATGTACCAGCACAAAATCAACCCAGATCAACATGTAGACTTGCTATATGAACTCGCGGGACATCTGGCAGTATGCAAAATGAGTACTCAGATGCCAGCCACTATCAGATCAACATGTAGACTTGCTATATGAACTCGCGGGACATCTGGCAGTATGCAAAATGAGTACTCAGATGCCAGCCACTATTTCAGAGTTTCACCGAGCTTTAAACTAAATATAAAGTTATTTCAGATGCGAAGCAGCTCTTTGACTAGCTTGTGTAACACTGTCCCTCCGTCAGTGCCGCTCCACTCTCCGCAGGTGTTGGAGCGGTGCCAAGTAGCTCACGCCTTTCTAGCAGTGCGCGGTGACGTCTCTCCCTTGCTTGCCGTGCGTTCGCCGCGTGTCGGCTCTCACTTCACCCTCTTCACCGCTCGAGCCCACTTCTCACGTGGGCGTTATCTCTACCGCGCCACCTCTCTGCGAGCCGGCTTCTCGCCAATAGATGGAGCGCGCTTACCTCAATACCTCGCGGCGCCGACAATGTGGACAGCGCTCCGCTGCTTGCCGCGTCGACGGGCGGGACGCCATCGCAGGATGCTTCCTGCTAGTGTGCAAGTGCTTTTCCCAGATGTCGCTGGCATTGCGAGGGTTAGCAAAGCCAATAGCATTCGCGAATGGCGACGTAAACTCCGACGAGATGCGTGCCAGGGAAGCCGAGCACAAGCGTCGGCAGTGAAAGACCAGCGACACAGACGAGGTGAGAGTCAAGACCACCGATCGCGTCTGAGAATACAGACGGCACGCGGGTAACACTGACGAGACACAAGCCAAGGAAGCCGAGCGCAAGCGTCTTCAACACGTCCCGCCTCCCGCGTCTTTTGTGTTTCAAACAAACGTTTACTTGAGTAACCACTACACCAAGTTTCGCTCCAAACCGTTCCCAGCACTCGAGTCGATGCCCGTTTCAACCGGGTCAATGCCGTGCGCACCGCTGCTGCTTCGCATCCCATCAGGGTTCCCTTTTAAAAGATGGTATATAGTTTTTTTTTTTAAATTTGCTGTGTTCCTCTAGATGTATCAAGTCTCTGAACAATTAATGTGTGGTAAATGTTTAAGGGTAACTGACTGGATTCCCAGAGAAGGGAAGCGGGTTAGGGGGAGACAGAAAGTTAGGTGGGCAGATGAGATTAAGAAGTTTGCGGGTATAAATTGGCAGCAGCAAGCACAGGACCGGGTTAACTGGCGGAACATGGGAGAGGCCTTTGTCCTGCAGTGGACGTAGTCAGGCTGATGATGATGATGATGAAATGTTAACATGCACTTCGATTACACACAGGCTTTGCCACATTTTAACCCTAACAGAATAACGCTTTTGCAGCCACACAAAATAAATTTATGTGCTCAGCATATCTGCCAAACAAATTACAAACCAAGCTCTTTTCACAGAGCTCTTATATTTATTTTACTATCTCCAAGGACATGGCATGCCAGTAGTTTAAGGAGACAAGAACACCCCAAGTCAACACACTGCCATTAACACCTAGGAAACCTCCCAGACCTCGTTTGGTACACGTGAGATTGAGAAAAAAAAAAAAAAAAGAACGCTAAACCTGCGACACACTCTAAATCACCTCCTTCAAAGCGAGTAGCTGTGATACTGTTTACATCACAGCACCCTCTAATGTCCGACAGCCAGCACTTTGATAAGAAAAGGCGCATCCACAAAACACGCAGACACAACATACGATAAAAGTAGCGCCCGTCCTGTCTCTCATTTTTGTGAATTTCTTGTTTTCGCACCCAACAGTTCCATTAGCTACGCACCATGTTGCGGAATTTCAAGTAATGCCATTTTTAGCATTGGTATCTAAGTACACAGGCCTATGAAATTTCACTTCCATCAAGATGTGGCCATTGTGCCAAAGATTTTATCCTCTGCTACAATTTTTGGGTCATGCAGTTGGTCATTCAAGGCTAACTATTATTACACGATAACAGAAATGAAACATGTATGTGCAGCACAGAACCAGGCAAAATCAGAACTTTTTTAACATTCTGCACAGTTGTGAAAGTAATGGCAACTTATTTTTCCAAGGAATTGAATAGGCTAAAACTGCGGAAGTAGCCTTTCATTCCAGCCTCGCAAAAGTCTGCAATCATTATGAGCGGCTGCATGCTACAATGACAATATAGGGAGCTGCTGTCGTCCAGCTTGCACCGAAATCTCTGATGTCATGCCCCATGATTGCTGCTATTCCTTTATCACAAAAGGCTGTTGTCAATACTGAAGTGCTATGTTGCCGTTGTTACAGAGAAATACTGACATTTCCAATGTCCCAAAGCATTCAATCTCTGCAGCCTAACTTGTTTACCTTTGTCCCTCTAAGCCGGTGAGCTCTTCTAGAATTGTCTGAAGTATGAGCCTCATAAGCCACACCACAGCGGTCACGAGTTTTGAGAGATGAGAAGATGAAATGCATAAATATTGCTCACACACTCTGCATTCCCATAAATTTGTTCTCTCTCTCTCATCTCAACAGCTTCACGCTATATCAGATGGATATTACCATTAAAGTTGACCTCAACACCCTTATGTATACTGAACCAGTAAAACAGGCAGAAGAGGGCACTATAGACAAATGGTATCAGTTAAAAGCAGCAGTAGTAGATGGTCCACATAAATGAACGTTTGTCCTCTACTTGCTTGCTCACCTGAAACGCCTCCAGACCTTCCTGAGGTGGCGGAGCCGTCCAGTGCCAGTGGTCTTCCTCCTCTTAGCCTTGACGCTCCAGTTGTCTGCAGTAGGCGTATGAAACAAACACAAGCAACAAGTTACAACATAGTAACGACATCGGTACACTTTACATCAGGCAACAAAGCATCAGTGGTTCCTTAGATCAGCACGATCCATATGATGATAAAAGTTTTTACATCACGTGCACACAGCAAGTGTTGACATCAAGTGTATGTAACAGTGCTTGTGCTGCATAGTGGACGCATGAAATCGTCCTTCACGAAAACCCCACCCCACTCCCCGCCCCTTAAATGACAGAAAAAAACTTTGAGAAACAAATTATAAGATTCTACGAGCTGCGAACGAATTAGGATCGAAGCATGCTGTAGTGGGAGTCTCCAGATCAATGATGAAGACAAACAGGTTTCCTTACTGTGCGCCTAATGTAAGTACACGGTTTTTGTAAGTACACATGCGGCAGCCATGACCACTAGTCACACTCGCGCCCAAAGTGCCTTGCCGCGAAACACCACAGCCGCAGAAACAACGCGGCCGCTGTGGAACCCCAAGTGAAGATCATATCTGACGCTTTGGTCACTGTTGCATGCTCCGTAGTCCTAAAAATGACGGCGCTTATGAACACGGGAAATCCTACGTTCACAACGCTCCATGTCAAAGAATATTTAAAGACTGTCGTAGCGGCTAGCGATTAGTAGGGCGACTACTGCACTTTTGAGACTACTCACTGAATCGCAAGTTGTTTGCGCGGACTCGCAAACAACGCCTCCTGTTACAAGTACCGATCGGGCGCGAGGTTTTCCTATCCGCGACAAGCACTGCTACATACGACGAGAGAGAAAAAAGCCACGTTCACTTACAGTGGCGCATCTTGCTGTTGGGGTAGCCGCACTGGGCGCATCGCGACTTCTGAATGTGGTAGCTGCTGCGCCCGCAACGCCGGCACAGCGTGTGGGTCTTATTTCTCCGTTTTCCAAAACTGGAGGTACCCTTCGTCTGAAATGGTAAAGCCGCAAAAACATGCGTGAAAAACAGCGGCAAGACGCGTCCCGGCCTGAAGCAGAGACGACTGCATGGGCGCCGACAGCTCGATTATATCGAAATGAGACATTTTCCGGAAAAATATCATAACATTCGCACTCGCTTAGGGCGATAGGCGTGTTTAATTAACGTCTCAGTGCATAATATACGCCACAATTTAAGATTCTACTAGATTTTGATGCAACGAGAAAACGCTCACCATCTTGACGATCTACCAATCCAGGAAAGGACTTGTTCCGAAGAGCAAAAATGCCATGATGTGAGAAAAATTGCAGTGGCGCTAAACGTTGGTTAAAAAAAGTTGAACAAAAAACGTTAAAAATTAAAACAATGTTTGAACAAAGTAACAAAATGCAAAATTAGTCATGCAACTTTATTAAGTTAGTTGTTTCGAGCAATTTTTTTACTAACGTAGCTACAAAAGGCGCTAGCGTCGCTCATTTGGCGCTACTTTCAAGTTGGTTGCAGGTGTGTCGTGGTTTCAACCTTTCTTCTATTTGCAAAAGCGCGATGCTGAAGGTTGTTAGTAAATTTGAGAGAGGCAGAAAAGATAAAATTTTATTTAAAATAGGATTAGGAATCTTTCTCGTGTAATGGAGCCAGAGAATACCTATACCACTTGACGGAGCCTTTAGTGAAGCGCCCCATACCGCGTGCTAGCTGGATCAAGCGGCCCGGTCAGCGCTACCCACTAGTACGTACGGATATACGCAGGTACAGTGGTATAGTATGAGCATCGGGTTACGAAGACGCTTATTTCTGTAAATCATAAGTAAGCACAACACGGTGTGCTTGTCCGTGTGTGTGTGTGGACTTTCTGTGAGGACCGCTTTGCCATGCTTTCAGGGGCGCGCTATAACATTTCAATTTGAAAAGAATACATATACTCACCTCTTCATCTCATGATCGTCATCCTCCCCTTTTCTCTCCCCTTTGCCCTGCCCCGGTGTAGAGTAGCAGGCTAGGGCATGTAAAATCGCTCAGGCCAACATCCGATTTTTCTGCAGATATATACCTCTCTCTCTATCTCGATGCAATAAATTTATTTTCTTTAGTTCATATAAATAAATCTGGAAACGAAGGAAACTATCCAGGGAAAGTTATATCATTTTTTTATCCGAACTATTAGTTAAAGCCCTTGTGAGAGCCGGAGTTTGCTAAAACTCCTAATTGCAGGACTGAGCCAGACAACGAGTCGTTTGCTCAGTGGCTCCTACTTTTGCTTCTGTGTGGATTCGTAGCGAGAGATGACGGGGGAGGGGGGGGTTACGTAAAACAGACGTAGCTACTAGTTTTATTATTGTTTTTAATGCGCACCACTTCACGAATACGCGGCCAAGCATTTGTATCTCGACTGAAGTCTCCAGAGGCTCATCATGTCGGACCCTTTGGTTTTCTCCGCTATCCTAGCCTTCATCCTATCTCGTTGCTCCAGGGTGAAAAGTTCTTTCCAGTCGTTCACTTTGCCCGACCGAAGAGCGCGGCAAAACTGGTCGCCATCTTGCAGGAACTTGAAGGCATCAGACCCAGGTACGAGTACGTCTCCAGCTGCCCCCGCTGGAGGCGGCGCCGATGCTGCCACCGCCGAATCCGAACCCCGCTCTGTTCGAGCGCCGTACACTCGCTTCATGTAATCGAAGCTCGATTTCTCGCAGACGTTCTCGAACACGTCGTCGCAGTTTTCCAGCGTCTCGCCGTACTCCTCGCCGAGGAAGTGAGCCAGCTTCAGTACGACGGCCTCCCTGTCCGCTTTCAGGTCCTCGAACGTGACGAAAAAGACGTTGTCCTCCTTCCGGTGTTCGTAAGCGCACCGAACGTGGTCGAAGTAATCACCGAAGCTGAACTTGCCCGTCACGAAGAGATCGAAGAACTCGTCGAAGTTCGAACGCGGCACTAGTGCGCGGGCGGCGCCTGGTGTCGAGCGGTTGAACTCGACACGGTGGTAGAGGGAGGCGCAACAATCCCAAGGGTTGCGGGCCACGTAGACGTACTTGGCCTTAGAGTGCGAGACACCGCCGCCAAGTATGTGCGAGTGAGTCTTCAATGTCCGCGGCCCTTTCGGAACAACGAGGTCGGAATCGTGGCCTCGTCGTCCTGGAGCGTTCTGCGAAGCCAATATAAATGTTTTCGTGAAAAAGTATTCAACTATTAAATTATACTGAACCTATCAATTACTACGCCCCAGAAAACGCCTGATTGCTTCAATATAATGCTTCTACAAAAGCGGAATAACAGCTTTGAAATGTTCTACGAAAGTCGTGCCATATAGCTCCTACAAAAGTTGTAGATGTTTCCAGTAAAAAAAAAAAAGCCATCTGGGCATAAACTAACAACCGAGGCAACTGGACGCAACTGCTCCCAGTAGGAACTTATATAACCATATGCAATGATAAGTGCCATGTGACGTATATTGAATTAACTCTTCATGCAGATCGAAGGATCGAGTCTACTCGAACAGAGATCCAGAGTGACGTACAAGTCTACCCAGGAACGGCGTGCGCCTCATGAACTCGGCGTAGTCGCACGCGCTTTGCCCCGAGTTGAGGATGAGCTGGACGATCTGCTGGAGCCAGTGGACGCCGCAGCCGGGATACGAGACCAGCACGATGTCGCCGTCTTCGCAGGCGTAGCGCGGCGACGATTCGCAACCGTACGGAAGGGAGTACATGCCACGCTGCATGACAAAGCACCCCGCGGCGGACACCGTGCACTAGTTGGATTAATGATTTACCGGCCGCCAGCCGCTTGGCTCACCACGTGTTCCTCGTGTTCCCGCTGACACCTGCGATGAAATCGATTGGTTCAGTCAAGTTTCTACTACTACTACTACTACTACTACTACTACTACTACTACTACTACTACTACTACTACTACTACTACTACTACTGCTACTACTACTACTACTACTACTACTTCTACTACTACTAATAATAATAATAGCCCCACGGGTTTGCGTGCCAAAACCACGATATCGGAACGAGGCACGCCGTTGTATAGGGTCCCGAAAACTTCGACTATAGTAGTGCACTATGAATTCGACCATCCGGTGGTCTTTTAACGAGCACTAACATCGAACAGGGCTCTAGGGTTTTGCTTGTCGATCATATCCAACCAAATAGGGTCCAATATTTCCAAAAAAATGAAGGCTGACACGTGAGACGCTGCGACGTACGCCCACATATCATAGCTGCGTACAGCTACACTTGCGATTGTGATACTTAATTGTGATGGTTTTGCCTGGTGGGACAGATGCAGCCAGAAACGCCTTTTGTTCAGACAAGCATTTTATAGAGGGGAAAAATTGATTCAACTACAGAAAATATCGCTTTCATATAGATGAACAATATAAGAAGAAAAACAAAAGGGTGAACGTTTTGCGTCTTCCAGCATTGTGCGTCGTTCGCCTATGCTTATAGTACGTGAATTCCTTTCGCTTGAATTTCGCGTTGTTTTAGGCTGTTGCAGGAGTGCCGTATTTTACTTAATTGCATTTTTCTACCCGGGCATCACGCTATGCATGAGCGAATTGGAAGTAGCACACTATTTTCAGAAACAGCTTGCTGATTTAAAAGACCAACGCCTGTTACACATTTCATTTGTTCAATGCACCTCGTAGCGCAGCATACATATTGATGTTGCCCCCTTTTATTTGTATATAATATAACATGAAATGTTTTTGGTAGTTCGCATTATTATTTGTCTGACTAAATTCGTCTCGCGCTTGATCTGAGTAGAATAGGTACCTCACCGCTTGGCATTCGTACGACAAAATCTACGCTTCGTTTACTGCAGCACATTAAGTTATACCAACAACGTATTAGGTACTACAGCTACCGAAAACCAATAAGAAAAAACCCGAATATTGTCGTCAAAGTGCCATTTCTTTTTTTGTAGATATTACATGCGTCTTTGTACAAGTGCGGCGACGATATGGAAAACAGGAACGGTGCCGCTTGCGCAGCCTTTGTTGAAAACTTACCGCTTAGGCGTGTCGTTTTGATCTACGGTGGTTTGTCGATAGCTGCATGCTGCGCATCCGGTGCCGTGAGTCAGTATATGTCTTTTTACGTTATTCTTTGAATTCTTTTTTGATTCTTTGAATTGAGAACCACAGCTGAGCGTAAACGCATGTTCGTGCCAGTACGATATCGAAACCGAAACTAAAATAATGTTTTAGACAAATAAATTTATTACAAAAACTGAAGCAGCCACTCTACAGTCATTCCTATTTATTATTTTTAGTGTATTTGATTTAATATGTAATTCAATGACAAAAATTCAACAACGGCGCGAGCTTAAACAACGCAAATTATTGTACATATGTATTTTGTCAAAAATAAAAACAATGAATTGACATAATAATGTAGTTATTGTGTTGTTTAATAAAATTAAACAACACAATCACTTTATTTTGATTACAGCTTTGTGAAATACGATAGTGCGGCTTCGCAACAGTTGCTTAATCATCTTGCACTGTTCTGATCGTTTTATCGGCTGCTACGGCGACGGTGATAACACATGCCACTCGCGTTAAGAATGTTGCATGCAAATAGTTTGTTAAAGTTATGAACTGCAGTGAAGCGATGTTCCTTGCGGAACGCAATAAGGGGACATCGTACGTGCAGCGAGCATCGTTTTTTTGACGTATCAGAAGCTACCTGAGCGTTTCGCAACTTAACGGCAGCAAGGTCGATCGTAACAGTTGTAGAACGTGCATTTCCTTGAATGATGCGTCTTGTTCCAATTTCGTAGCTGACACTCTGTACGTATCTCAAAATGTTATACGCTGCTTTGAGTGTCAGCCGTGCGCTGTGCCGGCATCACTTGTCCCTGCTCAAGTTCTCTGCTAGAAAAAGGTGAGCGTTCCATCATCGTAACGCGTGCATTTCCTCTAAAGGCGATACGCGGTGTTTCAACGGCAAATGCGATGCGTTTCGATTTAACCCATGTTGTTACGCAGGAGAAGTTCGTGCAGGTAGTACCTGCCGCGATTGTTTCGAATGTTACACCACGAACGCAAGTGAGACAGAGCTTCTGTCGCATTCGCCTGGCTGTTTTTTTCCTGTTGACGAAATGTTTTGGCAAACAGCCACCCGCAAACGAATCGCCACCGTATATGTGATCGTAAACGTTTGCAACTTAAGCGAAGGACTATGTGCATCTAAATGATATACGTAGGCGTTTTTTGCGGCCCAAGCGAAATAGAAGCTTTCTGTGAGCAAAAACGACTGCCGCTGGGTGACTCGTAATTAACTCTGGCGGTAGCTGCGATGATACTGCTTGCATGAGTTATGCAGCTCGATAAATTATGCAGCGAAAGAAAAGAAAAAATATGATGGTCCTACAGTAAACTTTCTACATCATAAATTTGCAATTAATAACGAAGTTTTTAATGTGGAAGGTGTATTCGGGAATGAAAAGCGAATGAAGAATAATTGGAATGAAGTGTGAGTATTTTTTTTATGCGAAATGCTTTGACATACACAATCCTTTCAATAAAGTGTACCTGGTGTTTGAAAACTAATTTATGTTTCTTTCCAGCATGGTATCCTTTTGCAAGTTCTCTGTAAACAGTTCATTAGGAGGGCTTGCTAAAACCTCTGCAAGATCATTGTCATCGCCCGGATCATCCCAGTGTCATCGTCCCTTACGACATATCATAGTACTCGGTGGAGGTTGCACCGTGACACTGTCCATCGCTCTGGGCCGATGCCTTTTACAGACGAGAGTACAGTGTGCCAAGCACAACACAAGGCTCCTCGACGCTAAGAAAGGCAGCACAGCGTCTTTTGACTGGGCTTCTTTCCTCCGCTTCTTGAAGCCGGACTGGCTACCACTTCTTGTAGCGGTTGTAGTAAGTGCATCTAGTTGGTCTTTTCACCGCGTCATTTATTTCCATTAAGTGTCAGAAGGGGAGCGGAATGAGGGGCTCATTTTTTTGTTACACTATTGTCATACTGTGCACTTCTGATCGTTATTACACCCAATCGGCATCAAACCTATCAAAGGGGATTGGTTTCCTTTGTGGCTTGGCTTGAAGGAGCCATTCCCGATCAAGAAATTCGATTCATCTCACACGCGATTTTGATCAGCAGTGACCATTTCACACTGGTATAAGGCGCGACATTGTATCCTTCAGATTTTAATTATGCTGAACTTTCTGTAAATATGTCAAATTTACTCAGAATTATTACAAGGCACTCAATATTGTATTAAAAATAGAAAAGGATGTCGTATCCTGCTTTATGCTGGTTGAAGTAATTTGTCACAATTAGCCTGTCTATGAAAATTTATTCTGCAGTCAGTCATGTTGTAGTTTTGCTTGAAAAGAATAAAATATTATAATTTTTCTAACCTTGCCAGTGTAGAGCCTCTTTCTGGAAAACATAAAATGAAAATTTTCTGTTTGTATGACCTCCACACAAATACGAGTTGATATACATTCTGTCTACCGGTGGATAAATATTGAATGAAAAACTTTGTAACTGAAAGCAGGTGAAATTTGGCAGGGTTGAAGATTTAGCTGTGTGGCATTCTTTTTAAGTACAGCATTTCGAAACATTTTTGTTTGTCATTGCAAGTTTATTTAATGCAGTGCTGGAATTGTATTTGTTATGGAATGTTTGTGACTTGCTCTTTTCATTCTGTCCTGCAGAGTGCCTTAATTGTTGCTGCTCTCAACATTAAAATTCCGGTGTGCCTGGGTGCAGTTGTTGAAGTCCTGAGCAGGATAAAATCTGGCAACACGACCCCAGGTGCAATTCCCATCAGCTTTTTAGAGGAAATTCGTGGGCCCGCAGTGCGACTTTTTCTCATTTACGTAATGCAAGTAAGTGTCAAGCTTTGCCTGTTGCGCTTGTTAAACTTGCATAACTGTTGGTTGTAATTACCAGTGAAAATGACGCCATGCACGTAGTGGGGATGAACACAAGTGCTTGTGTTTAGTTCGTTCTCTGTGGATGCATTTTTACGAAGTCTAATTTTTATCTACAGTTATGTGAGTGGATGTGTTTCATAATGGTACAACTTATATGTTAGCTGTAGCCATTTTCTTGAATGCATGTGTGTGCATGCATGCACATATATATCAGCTCAAATGTGCACATGTATATAGGGATATTGTACTTCTGTCCCCGTCCATGAAACAGCGAAAGCAAAATATCCTGTGTACATCCTTGCCGCATCCAGCCAAATAGTGAATACACCAAACCATTGCCTCCACCATCTGAGCTGGCGGCATCGCCCCAAAACTGGTCATTCATGAAGGCATGACATGTGTAATGAGAACATCTTGGAATTATAGTCATGATAGCAACAAGCTTTCTCATTTCACTATCTGAAATGTTTGCAGCAAAAGTTATTTGGACTTTAAAAGCAATATTTCTTGTAGTAGCAGCAGACATACGAAATAATTTCACTTTGAAGATCTAGTGTATAAAAGAAGTTCATACTTCGTTTATTTGTGGCTGCCACTCTACTATCGGTGGCCAACATAGACGTAGCCAAAGAGGGGCTGGGGATTTGAGACTTCCATGATTTTTCAGTATGTGTGTCCATGTATACTCGCAAACTTAGAAGCACACACAGGCACATGTATGAAGTAGAACAGTCGGATGACACCCAAATAAAATTCTAGATTTTACTCAGATGTGCAGACTCCACGAGAAAATAAACTTTTGCCAAAACACACGACTTTTCATTCTACTTCACTTAAAGCTGAGTAAAAATCAATGTGAGACACTCAAATCTCAAAATGACGAACCCAGATATAACGAAATATCGTTTATAGCAAAGTGAATGTAGAAGATTCTTGCAGTAGATATAGTGTTAGAGAAATTAATCTTTATAACGAATTATTAGATATAACAAGCTTCTTTGCATGTAGGATGCAACTTTGTTTTAATGAGGTTTGAGTGCGATGCCGACCTTCATTTTCATCTTATTTGTAAAAAAAATGCCTACCCGAATACAAAAGGAGGGCCAAAACCCCAAATTTTTTTAACCTTCTGCCAGACGTCAGATCCTGTTATGTCAGCTAACGTAGGAGATTCCAAGAATGTCGTAAGAGGCTTGTGTCATGGCCTTTTCAATGCGCTTAATATCATCAAAATATTTTATAGATAGTTTCTTAAGCTCAGTTTGAAATCAATTCACCATATTTTTACATTTTTTTCCATGAAACTCTTTACTCAACTATACTTGGCGACAGCTTTTCGTAACAGCACTGTGTAAGCTACCACACCAAAGTGTATATCTGCTACTGTGCCAAAAAATAGTAGTTAAGTTTACTGACAATTTTCTCATATGATTTGCTGAAATAAATGCTGCTTTATTTATCATTAGGCTCAAACATTTGTGAGTAGTCATAGGTAAAATACAATTATTGGTCACTTTGCTAGAATGCCTTCCTTTTTTTTTTCATTTTTTAGACAGCACCACCTTTTCAGCATCCCCATTCTCCAAAGTAAACATGTTGCCCAATGACGTATTGTGTCAGTGTGCAGCTGCAAACATGCAGTTTATTTCTGCAAGGAATATATAACATAATATGAGACTAAAATGTACACTGAGCCATGGAAATCTTTCTCCCATTCACATTTTTCGTGTATATGATTTTCTAAAGCATGTTGGCGTTGCGAGCGAGCAAAAACAAAATCATCTGTAAGCTGCTGTACTACTTGAACAGCGACACGAATGTGTGGAAGCCCCGCCTTTGTAGACTTTGCTACACTGACAAGATAAGTTGTCCCAGAGTGCAGCAGAGGCTGTGTTAAAATTCATGACTTTACATAAGGGCGTGTGAAGATTTTGCAGAAGCATCACGATTCGTCTTTCATTGTTTCATGCTTTCTGATGAAAACTGCGCTTGTAGTAACACTCTACTTTATGGTATTTTGGAGGCCCAGTTAGTTAATTCAGGTTCACTTGCAGTAGTGTCCTTTTCGTATCTGCCTTAGAACTTATGTGCCGTTGTGGTGTCGCTTTTGTAGCCTTGTTTAAGCATCTGTTCTCCCACTGCCTTTCACAGAGTGTTTTTACGGCCGTCTACATATCAACACTGTCCTTTACTGGGGAGCGCTATGCCACGAGGCTTCGCCAAGCACTGCTCGAGTCTGTGCTCAAGCAAGACATGTGCTTCTTCGACAAGACAAAGACTGGCGAGATCATGAACTGGTGAGGCATCATTCTAGATAGGCTGCATCTCATAAATTCAATTTGAATTGAATTGAATTGGGCTCAAAAAACAATATTTGATAAAGTCATTTTGGTAAAGTACAACAATTTAAAGTTATATAAAGTAAAGAATCCATGAACAAACTATTAAACACATGAAATAACTGCACATAATAATAACCACAGAAAAGGAGAAAATGAACTGTTATATACATACATTATAAAAAATAAGAATTTCTCATCTGACTACACATGACACGACATTCACAGATCAGTTGGAGATATCCTAGTGCCTTTGAAAAATTTGAAGACACTTTTATTCCAAAAAGTATAATGTTCTAGATTTTAATACCAGTGAATTTTGTTGCTTACCATTGTAATGGTGGCAGTACTGTCCACACCTTGAGGAGAACAGGTATGTATGAGCTGTTGAATAGCTCTGAATGAGTAGGAAATTATCACTGAAAAACCGAATTTGTGCGTTGTGAAGTGTCTACTTGACCAACACAAAAAAACGTAGCAGGGACTGAGGAATGGTCGTAAAAATTGAACGGCGCTACAGGGACGTTAAGATTCATCTGAAATTCCTCTATCTCAACATAGTTTGCAGCCTGTTATAGAACTTTGGGACATGAAATGCAGTCGTGTTTATGTTAATACAAACAAAGGAAATTCGTTGTGTACTTGAACTCTCGTTGGAGAGTTCACAAAAGAAAGCTTGTGAATAATGCCTCTTGCTGTTTCGAGCTTATTTCAAGCTGTAAAGAGTTGCCTTCTTAGAGTATCTTTCAGTTAGCTTGATTAGGTAGAATGAGAATGCAGATACTGTGTTGGTGTAAGCTTGCTTAGTGTTATGGAGGCATTGCACATTAAATAAGAAACATGACTGGTGTCAGTTCCTAGAAAGGATTGAAACAGTGTGCCGGTGCCACCAAAAACCACAGATTGATTGTACTATGATGTACCAAAGCTTTGAAAGGGGCATGTGTCATGTGTATCGCCATTTGGCTGTGGCCCGACCTCTTCATTTTAATTTTTTTTGTCGCATGCTGAAAGTGAATGTTCCTTGACTTGACAAATTTTGATCAAATTTATAGCTTGCTGTGTCAGCAGGTTATCATACTGCATTTACTCGCATAATTAATGCACTTGTATATTGAATGCACCCCAATTTCATTCGTTGAAATTTGGATTGTTTTTCTCCGGTGTGACAAACCCACCCCCTACATTCATCCGTTGCAGTCCCGCAAACTAAATTCCTGCAAAGCCACACCTGGCGCCTCCTTCTGTTTGGCCTTTTCCATTTTTTTACGCTGACCGCCCTCGGCTCGCTTCCCACCTACCCTTCCCCGCTGCCACGTGCCGTTTGGTTTTATTTCTATCAGTGTGTGACCCGTCCCCTGCCTTTTTTAATTATTCATGCGCTACAGCACGAATCATAATTGGTGTCAGTGCAGAGACATCACACCTGACAAGCACACAGCGAGCGAAGGTCACGAAACTGCCCGCACCAATTACCAATGGTCGCTTCTTGTAAATACGAAATTTAAGGTCGAACAACATGCACACGATTTTTAAGTGACTACAACAGGATTAAGTGGTCACCATGGCTCTCGCAAAGGGCCATCCATCGCCATTGCATCGCAGGCATGTCGCAGGTATCTAGAAAACCAGAATAAAAATCGCTTGTCACCCAGAAAGAGCCTGAAAATTTTCGCAACATGGTAGCACCCCTGATTCTCGCTTTGGTTGCAATTTGCTGATCATGCTTGCTATCTACACATAAGCTTCAAAAAACGCAAGATATAGGCTACCTTTTCTACAGTCGCTTCTCACGTGGAGAGTGAGGCGACAGTTGTATTTTGTCATTAACCTTGTTATTGACCTTACTGATGGCTTGCTTTGGTGCTTTGTTAGTACCTTGCATCAATGATGGTTACTTGCTGCAATGTCAATGTCGTCTGACGTTGTTGTCACTGTCGTTGTGTGAGGTTACCACAGAGTTGGCAAAGTGTGTTGTAGTGCACGCTTCTGGGCGCCCCTCGGGTTCATAGCAGATACCACTGTTACGGTTAAACGATTGCAAGACAGGAAAGCCGAGAAATGCTTTCATAGAGTCCGCGGGCAGTGCGGGGCCAGCTTGGTGAAGATAATGCCGTAAACCACCCTAAATGGTAGGAAGTGTAACAAAGAAGCTGTTTCAAAACAGTGTACAATTGTGAAAGGTTGAGTTACCTAACTTTGTTTTTTGTATTACCAAATTTTTCGCTCATTCGAACAAAGCTTTCATAAAATTTAGGCCACATAATAAGCGCACTCCCAACTTCACTTTAACTTTTCAGAAAAGTGTGTTCATAACGGGAGCATGTACGGTAACAAGTATATATAGCAACAATTCCTCGCTAGCCAAAGGATTGAAGCGCCTTGCAGTAAATATAAGTTTTGTGTCAATCAATCGTAGTGTGTCTTAGGATTCTCACTCTCTATAACTCTCCGTTACCCTTTTATTGGCACGAATTTTGTTCTTGTAAACAGAATGGATAGATGGATAGATGGATGAACTTTACTTGGTCCTTCGGAACATGCTTTAGCATGCATTTAGCATGCACCTGCTTACCCAACCAACTTCATTTTTGACGGCAATGCTGAAGTGCAACTTCTCACATTTGATCACTCAAAGAAGAATTAACGAAGTTCACTGTTTATGCACTCATTTTCTCAGTTATTTATGTTGAAGAATGACTTACTAACTGCCGCCTATTCTATTGTCTTTTACAGCCTCAGCGGAGATGTACAGGAGTTCAAAAGTGCCTTCAAGCTGTGCATATCGCAAGGAATTAGAAGTGTGGCCCAGGTGCACACTTTTTTTTCATCACTGTGCCATCAGCCTTCCTGTCTTTTTGTTCAACAGAAACCTCCTTTCACAGAACTTGTAGTCAAATTTTATTTTTCTCTTAAGTAAAATACTTAAACTACAATTTTCAAGTCTTTGCTTGATGTGAACTTTAAAAAAAGATACTCCCAAACCATTTCCTGCCGCGGGTATAAGTTTGTTGCTAGTTCCACTGGTCAAATTTCACGTACCTAAGAACTAACTCATCCAGGTAAATACAAGTCGTTTATTAGTATGTTAACTTAGGAGAAGGTAATTAGCCACTAAATTTTTACATTCTACATCATAGCATTAGTGCTGCAACTGCTAAACCCTTGCTGTGCAATATATTAGAAAAGTAAGTGCCAAGGAGCTCAATTTTTTTGTTTTACGATGGAATTGTAAACAACAGAAAGACTAAAAAGGCTATGCCTATAATCATGGGATACTTGCGCTGCCATAGGTTCATTTGTTTTTGTCTTTTTTTTTTCATCACCACACCTATTTTTTTTTTTCAAATGTTTCTGTAATAATCTTGTTCGTTCATTCTTACTGTGGTTATTTGCTGTTTTGTTCATGCATTATGTATATGGCATGCTTCTGTTCAACCACTGTAACTGCTCAGTGTATGAGGTGGCCAGGTTTCTTTGAAGCTGCCCTGTGCTGCTTTTTGGCCTGGTCTCCTCACAACCTTGTTGCAAAAATAAACTCAGGATTCAATTAAATTTATATCAACATATTGTTACAAGACTGCATCACTCTGAAGAAGCAAGACAGACAGCGAGAAAGACGACGTGATTCTGGGATGTGGGGCATGCTCTCGCTTGCCATCTCGGCTTAGGCTTGGCATCGTGCAAATATATCTTAGCTGTAACCTCGTTTCTCTGTGCGCCCTCCCGTAACATTTTGGTGGAGGTGCGAGGTAGAGTGGTCACAATGACCACAGGTGAGGTAGGCGCCGTTGATGCGCGAGGCATGGCTGTTGGCGCAGCATCCCTGTCGGTAGACATGTTGGAAGTGGCAACTTGGCATCCGCTGCGAAGCTCTGTCGTGCTTTGCTACCCTGTAACAATATTATTGTGGCCCAGAACCCAGCCTCTTGCTAGTACTGCAGAAAATAACACGTCATTTTTTCTATTTCAGACTGTTGGTTGTGCTGTATCACTCTATTACATCTCACCGAAGATGACCATGTGGACTGTGGTTGTTCTGCCTGCGATGTTGGCGGCAGGAACAATATTTGGCTCGTTTCTACGAGTACTGTCACGGAAAGCACAAGAGCAGGTGAATATGTCATGTCTGTCAGTAGTTCAATTTCTGAGAGTTGTGTGGGATGATAGTGCTAGTTTTGATTGGACCTTTTATTGGCTTGTTTAGACATAGTGGTTGAGGATAAACGGCTACCAAGTCACTCAGTTTAGTACTTTTAAGAAAGTTTTGGGTTTTAATGTCCTGAAAGACATAGTGGGTTGTGATGAATGTGCAATGGAGGGCTTCGGCTTGTTAGTTTTGGTCCTGCAAAGTTCTTGAGCTTGCAACCAAAACATTGTATGAGTGCTTGGACATTCCACATCTATTGCAACTCAAGAAGGCTCATATATGTGTTGGTCAGAAAACCGAATGCATTCCTCAGTACTTAGGATGGACCTTGTGGGGCAAGCGGAAGTTTTATTCAACATTATACCGCTGTAAGGTGGAAAGAAAAATTCAGAAACAAGCTCACCTCATGATGTCTGTTGTCATCAACATCAAAAAGTTTGTGCATTCACATTTGATTTCATAGTATTTTGATATAACTTCACTCTGGAAGCGTCGTGTTATGTAAAACTGTTCGTTAATGAGAACCAACAGAGGTAAGAAAAACTATCAAAGAAAACCGAGCAGTTAAATCTCCACTTCTATCCTAAAACTCCTTGCTGATACCAAAAAATGGTGCTGTCTAGCACAGCTCCTCAAAGTTCCAGCAGGTATAAGATAAGAAAGATAGAAAGTTGCAAATGAGTGTCTTGTCATAGGAGCTACTTAGAAACCCCAGTTGTGGCCTATAGGCTGGAGTATTGGGCTGCAGTGCTGGAAGACAGGTTTGATCCCTGAATGGGTTGTAAGTTTACCTGTCACCTTATAGATAAGCATCACTTGTGCTGGTGGCATGTAACATAACTCATAAGTGTTACAGTAAGCTCAGAGTACACTGTAATGCTGAAATCACTCTGTGCACTAAATCACTAGTTTGTGAAAGATGTGGGGAATGGGAATGTCAATTTGACAAATGAGAGTGTGCAAAGCCACACATAATACAGTCAAAACTCAATATAATGAACCTGGATATAACAAAGTGTCGGTTATAACAAAGTAAATAAATAATAGTCTTGCAGTAGATATAGTGTTCAGAATATAGCACCTTTATAACAAATTTTCAAATATAACGAACTTGTTTTCATGTAAGAGGAACTTTGTTATAATGAGGTTTGAGTGCATATGCATGTGAAACAGTCAACGTTTCACAATTATCAGCGTATGAGTGGGCTATCGAAAATGTACAATGCTATGTCCTGCCCTCATTTCTTTCAATGTTGCTTTATAGAGCAAGTGTTTCTTCATGGCGTTGCCTCACGAAGTTACTGTAATGCGATTCTGGATTTTCCTGTAGAATGCTCGAGCTGCAGGCGTGGCTGATGAAGCGTTGAGTAACATCAGGACAGTTCGGTCATTTGCTATGGAGGACACAGAAGCTCAGTGAGTTCTGTCTGCACTCTTTGTTGCTTGGGGCTCAGATATATGGAATGTTTTTGTATGGCTGGGACGAAGCTCTTGCAAAGGTATCTGAAACATGATTACGAGTGTCTCTCGTAATCAAATTATAGTTTTGTAATGTAAAATCCCACTTATTATTATTATTATTATTATTATTATTATTATTATTATTATTATTATTATTATTATTATTATTATTATTATTATTATTATTATTATTATTATTATTATTATTATTATTATTATTATTATTATTATTGATATTATTATTATTATTGATATTATTATTATTGATATTATTATTATTATTATTATTATTATTATTATTATTATTATTATTATTATTATTATTATTATTATTATTATTATTATTATTATTATTAAACATGGTTACAAGGTGTGCATTTACAGCTTTTGTTTAGCGATAAGTTTCTTTTCACATTCAGACTGACAGGTAAGAAATTCGCATTAAATAAGTGTGCTAAAGTAACGTGTGGTAATGTTAAAAAATAAGTTGTGGTTAGGTTGATACTTTTTTGGTTTGCATGCTGGTTTGGTGATTAATTTGTCTGTTGTCTCAGGTTGTATATCTGTCTCTTTGTATTTGTATTTCCGTGAAGGCTCTTTAAGCATGAAGTTGAAAAGGCCGAAAACCTGCATACTGCACTCGGCATCGGCATTGGCTGCTTTCAGGGTCTGACCAACCTCAGCCTGAATGGTAAGCCTGGTTTTCAGTTTTTTTTTTTCATATTTGTAACAGTATCATTGGCTTTTCTCAGACCTTTGGCGTATAGTAGTTGCTGTCTGGTTAATGAGCTCTATAGTTTATTAAAGCGTTTCTAGTGAATCAATCTTTCTTGAAAAAGAGCTATGTTTCTTTGGTATTTTGGATGCAGCTTCATTTCCAGTCCTGATCACATTATGTGAATAATTTTAATGATGTATTCAGTCTATTTATTTATAAAAATGGAACTATTCCTCCATCTATCTGCTGTATTGGTGGGCGAATGTAAGAGTGCTTAGAATATTGAAACAAATATTACAGTGTTTGCATTGGTTTTGACACCAAGTCAAGTTCAGAGTAAATGTGCACTTTTTCAGGGTAAATCTGCACTGCTGTGAAGCCACACTTGAAGGTTAAAATGTACAAATTACTCGCACCTCAATTTACTTCTTTGTATTAAAGTTTAAAAGTGTGCTAAGTGGGCTTAACATGTTAAGTATAGCAAGTTTTAGAACAACATATTTTACGGCATGTAGCTTGGTCTCTATTACTATTCAAATCATGCTACTGTTAGGATTAGGTTCCACTTCACTTTCAACCGAAAAATGTGGCAGTTGCGCATGCCTAGTTCCAATGCCTAAAAATATTGTGCAAGTTAGTTGGGTCATGACGAAAATTCTCAATTTTCTTTATAATATGTCATTTATACTATTTGAACTATTTGATTCAAAATTATTTGATGAAATTGCTATTCGCTTCAAACCTCAAATTTACTACTTGCCCAGCCCTAATCCTCTGTTGACACTCATTATTTGACATTTCAAAATTTGTTTGCTTGCTAGACTTGCTCACAGCTTTTATTTATTTGTCTTTTTCAACAGCTCAAAGTTTACCAACTGCAGTTTCAGACTCATTCATAATTAGTAATTTTGTTATTTATGACTTGCAAAATAATAATGCTGAATCTGTATGATACTCATGGGACTGCTAAGAATAGAATAAATGGGTGATTTGTTCAATCTGATGTATTGAAAGCGTGATTTTGTTAATTTCGTCTGTTTGCATGGGCCAAGTACTGCATTGTACTGCATTAGTAATGGTATAACGGCATAAGCTACGGCCTGTTCATGGTAACATGCTGTGGCGCAACATCTCTTTTGTGGTTAACTTTCTGATAAGAACTTTTTTTTTAAACAGCTGAAACAACTTTTACAGCCCTGTCAGTTGTCTGTATGTTTTTTTTTTCGTGAGCTGTTCTGATCACCGTGCAGTCTCTTATGTACCCTTACATGGCTTTTGCAGGCGTTGTGCTTGGTGTGCTGTATCTTGGAGGAACTATGATGGAAGCAGACCACCTGAATGCTGGCCAGGTCATGTCATTTTTTGTGTGCAGCCAAATAATTCAAAGGTATGCTCAAACAAAGCATGAAAGTGGATGGGGGGTAGCCACTGTGGTAGCTCAGTTGCTAGAGCGTCGGGCGCATTATTTGAAGGTTGCATGTTCGGTCTCTGCCCACAGCAAGTTATCTTTTCATCGACTTTTCTTTATTCACATTCACATTAGAATTCCTTCATATAAAATCTCCTATACTTTTTTGGCTTGGTTGTCAGCTAGATTTCATTAATGTTGTGTCTAACAAAGAAAATGAGCCTTTATTTGTACACTTCTTTCCTTCATGATAGCACTATGTGTGTTATAGTAGCCACACGAAGCTAAATGATAATTGATAAGTGTATTTAAGTGATAAGTGTAAATGATAAGTGCATATTTACAAAAGTAATATGTCTGCCCTTGCACTGTGTGTCCCTTAAGATATCTCTCAACTTGTTTACCTGGGCTAATCTGGTCACCCTAGCATGCTAAGCCTGTAAGTGTAACGTGCACATTTAGTATCATGAAAAGACTTTGTATTGGTGCTTTGCAGTTCAAGGTCAGTCCTGTTAAGAATGAGAGTTAAGTACTTCTGTAAGGAAACTGAGTTGGTTAAAATATTTTCTCATTTCACTGTTTTATTTTGGTCATATGTGCAGGTCACTTTCGCAATTGTTTGTCCTCTTTGGACACTACGTTCGTGGTATCTCTGCTGGATCGAGAGTCTTTGAGGCAAGTGTAGATGTGTACATTGTAGTTTGTATAAACTGTAGTGATATGAAAATACTACCTAAGTTTGTAAATTATTGACGTCCTTGTACAAGTAACAGAAGATGTTTACGAGCAATGCTATAGCTATTTAGATCTGTAGAAAAATATTTATGGCAAGTATCTACAGTGCAATCTAGTGAATCAAGTTCTTTCTTTTGGAGTTGAAATATTGTCTTCATTATGCTGGAGAGCTCAAAACTAATGTCTGGAATCCTATAACAATGCGTGTTTTGTCTGTCAAGCAACAGTATGGCTGATTTTTGGTTGAAAGAAGATAATGTGTCACTGAAAGAGAGTAAATTCCACTAATCCAGAAAAGGACAGCAAGTCAACACAAACAGGCACAAAATTTCAAGTACGGTATGTTTTTTGTCTCTCGCATCAGTATAACCACGTGATTGCACATGTGCAACAAGTGAGCTCATTGCAAGACATGAATATACAGAATATAGACTACAGTATGCCATGCAATAAATTATGCTTGGTCTCTAGCAAAGTAAATGAAATATTGGTTAAGCGTACACTTTCTTTTGAAGATTCATAACAAGTTTTCTTCAGTTTCCCGGCAGTGCTCTCTTCACTTCTACGCAAGATCCTAATCACCTTGCGTATTGGAACACACATACAGGCTTGACAATGCATAGACAAATGTGGATGGCCTTATTTTTAACTGGAAGTTCATGTTTCCAGAAGCATTTAACACAACATCCACTTTGTCTGTCGTATAAGACACACATGATATGGAATTTTATTAACAACACCACCTGTACATTTTACGAATCTCTGGGCATGTTTCTTACCACAACCTCCTGAAGTACACCTTGTAAGCATGCTTAGGGGTTTGCAGTGATGTAGGTGCTCCTACGATTGCTTCAAATTACCCCAAAAGAGAAATTCTGCTAAATTCTGCTCCAACTCTGAAACTGTGCTCTTTGTTAATAGCTGCCCCAAAACCTGCTTTGAAACAACACCGAGAAAACTTAAATGAGAAAGTTTGATCGTGTGGCCATCAGCTGCTAGAACACTAAGATCTTCTTTACACTGGCATTTGTCTGCTCGGAAAACACCTGCGGCTGCTCCAAAGCGGTACTTATCCTGCTCGGAAATCTGCTTCAAAAAGTGAAATGTTGCTTCCATCACTGAGTTTGTAAAAAGAAGCTTCAAGCAACACGATGCATTTTCTTCAGTTTGCGCTGTTCAACGTGCCTGAGTTGTGAAATCCACTGTTTGTCATCACAAGGCGACATGTTATTTGTGTTTGCTTCTGCATGAACACTCCTTGCTTGTTAATTTAATTAGTAAACATGAGTTTACTACAGTATGTAGGGCCAATAAAACTTTCAACATTACTTTGTACAGCCATTTATATTGCATCGCTATTGCTGTCCGTGCATTGCTTGTTAGGGGAAACTGTATTTTGTTTTTCTTCACTCGATCAAGGTCTTCTTGTTGAATCTTGAAACTTATTTTTCTTTATAGCTGATCAACCTGAAGAGTGAAGTGGCCATAACTGGAGCAACACAGCTGAGCCCAAGTACATTGCGTGGGGATGTTGAGTTTCGGCACGTTTATTTTTCCTACCCAACCAGGCCGAACCAGGTAGGTCACCTGGAATTGCTTCCGTTTTGATAAATAAAAGCATGTCAAATTGTGGGTGTATGAGTGAATGTTCGGAAGCTGTTGTTTTCTCAGAGCTGCATTTTAATCTCCTCTCCTGGTCTGTGCTGGCTTGGTTGCATTTGGTAATTCATACAACAGCAGAATAAAAAAGTTGTCAGCTGTCCATATGTTATTGAGCAAAGGCATCTTTAGTGTATGTGGCTGTGTCATGTCACTGCTCTATAGATATGCATATGACTTTAGGGTTAACATCTTTGACAGCTCTCTGTTTGGCTAGGTAAAATTATAAGAAAAAGAGTCCATCCATTGACATATGTAATCAGTTTTGTAATAAGTTGTTTAGCTCTTGTTGTGTATCATGGCAATGGGTAAAATGTAGCTGTTTATGGACCCACTTTTCCTGCCTCTAAAATTCCGTATTTATGAGTCATAAATGGGGCATATTCCTTCGCATCAAATGTACAATGTCGAAAGCTTAATAGCAAGTGTGTATTAAGTATTTTAACTTATGTAAAAAAATTGGAAACTGAGAAGTTTAAAAAATTTCAGCTCATATTGATAGATAACTATAACTTTGTAATAATTTTACAAAATATCGAGCCTTAAAGATATAACCGCACTCTTCTTGTGGTAAGAAATATCTGGGAAAAATTTCGTCCAGATCAGGCCACCAGAAGTAGTACCAAAAACATGATGTTCAGACTCAAAAAGTTGCAAAAAACTGCATCTTGAGGAAATTTGAAAGGTTGTCTTTACGGCAAAAATATGTTTTTAAAATTATTTCTTCTTTCGTGAGAGCTTGGAAGTCACGAGTTTTTTTTTAGCCTGTGGCTTTGGAGAACTCCTTGCATAAAATGCACTGGAAAGCAGCCAGGTCATGATTTTTCGGGGGATGACTGTAGACAATGAGCTCTTTCTAGTCCTTGGGTAATTTTTTTAAATCTTCAAAAATGATTTTAACCCATTTCTAATTTAAATACAACCTCGATTGTTTTTGTTATAGAAATAAAGAAACTCAACTTGACAAAACAATTACGAACAAAAACTATGCCATTAAAAATGAATAAAAAACGAGTTTTTTTTCATCGCTCCATAATAAAAAAATTGGCTCCGTATGAGCATGTTACACTGCAAATGACGTTAAAAGACAATAAACTAAAAAAGAAATGAACAAAACGTTTATTTGATGTTCTGTGCAAGAAAAATCGGGGAATGGTATTCTGGAGGTGCTGCGTTAGAGTGCCTCGAGCGTGCAGTGGAGGTGAATGAGCGCATCAAGTCACGCCACACGTGAGACATGAGCGCTATCTGGCAGTTATCTTAGCAAACGAAGTGCGCGGCGTGCGCGCTCGTCTCAGAGGCGATAAGGGGTGGAACGCAAGGTGACGGGTAGGTGCCGCCACTGTGTCGTCTTAGCAAAGGGTTGGAAACACTTGCCTTTTCGTGCAAGCGTTGCATCGTCACAGCAGCGTGATAAGCGCAACGGTCTTTAGAATCACTTATGTATGCCTTTTCTAGTATAAAAGACACTAATACGGAATATTGACGTGTTGCTATAGTTCCTCAGATATGCGAAATAATTGCTTTTTAATTGACAATCGCACAAGTATGAACGCTGAATCTTGAGAAATATTGGTGGGCACTGCGGATAAGGTCAGCCGTTTGGGGCATTGACTGTTGTCGTTAAGGGCATTGCTAAGGGTGGACAAACAGACAAATGTACAGACAGACAGACAGACAGACAAATCAAAATTTTTGTTTCGAAGGTCCCCAAGAAAGACTATCATCTTTAAAACTGGCCCAACGTTTGGGACCCACTCATACTCTTCTTCAGAACTGTATTCACTAATGCTGAAGTTGTGTAATTTAGAGTAGCTTAAAACTGAATTTGTTAGCAACCATTCTTGTTCTTTCTTTCAATGTAACCAAATAATTGGTCTTGGTCTAAACAGAAGTTTACACAAATGAACAGCTCTTTTTTATAGTGTGAGACACTTGTGTTTAGTATGCTGTTGTTAGTATGCATCACCTGACAGACCTCATTCACCACCTGAGCTCGCTCAGAAAAAATCTTTGCTTGCTCAGTGTGAGCACTATTGCTTACAAATACCATGCAGAAAAGCACTGCAAGAGTATTGGAAGAAACATTCCAAATTGTCAATGACAGATATAATTCATTCAGTGTAGTAGTAAGAGCATGTGCCCTTTAGCTATGCCACCTAACTGAATCTCACCAGTACTTGAGACATGCAGCAATAAACATCTTGGCTGTTTCTGTCAGTACCATCTACCTAAAGTAACTAAGTTGACTTTAGGGCAGAAATGAAAAGACAAGTGAAAATCGTGTTTTTGTTGATGGCAGTTTCTAACCACATTTATTGCTTTTTTTTTGCAGTCTGAGTTAGTATTTGTGGCATCAAGTACTAACTGTTTGTGTTAGGGCACTTCTGCAAAAATCTATATAGGCACGTTAGAATGCACTAACAAAATAATCATGCGGCCAAGAAATTCAACCTGTAAGGCCAAAAATCCTGTCAGTCATCGTTATGCCAGAAAACCTTGTTGACCTTTCAGTATCTAAATGCATACTCCTACTGATGCACTTTAAACATCACAACATCCTTAGAATGTGTCAAAGTCATTTTAAGAGTAGGTTTTTATACACATTGCTACGTGTTGCTGTCTGTCAGATGACATACAGTAACAGTTGCAGATGACGGACAGTAACAGTTTAAGATGACGTGACAGATTTAGGCATTATAGATTGTTCTTGTTTATTGCTGCAAATTCTATGCAATTACAGTTTACCTCATTATGATGCTGTCCTTGTGATTAATTGCTTTTTGCCAACAAAATGATTGGTATGTTGCTTTTCTAATTTTTCCTGAGGTCACATTTTGTAAAAATTATTCTGTTTTCCATGCTTTCATGCCAAAAGGCCCATTCTGCTATAGAGATACGTACCCTGCAATTGTGACAGGCAAAGAAAACAATAAAAAATTAGATATATTGTTATAAAATGCAGCCTCCGAAGGCTATTTCATATTGCTGTGAACGAGTAGACTCTATGATGTTAGAGCAGTCAAGTTGGTGAACACATTCATTTTTTTTGCAGACTGTCCTTGAGGATGTGTCACTGAAGCTTCCCGCAGGAAAGATAGTCGCCATATGTGGACCATCGGGCAGTGGTGAGCTACTCCCTAATTGGTGTGTCAACACCTTTGTTAGAGATATTTTCATTTCAGCCCCATATGCCGACACTGTTCGCTTGCACAATTTTACTCGTGTGTCAAGCTGTACTGGTTGAGGTAACTTAAACTTAAAAGGGGCCTGCAACACCTCGTCAGCATGGTCAAAAAACACTGCTGATCAGTGGCACAAAAGCTTCCGAAAACACGCGAGCCAAACTTTATAGCGCAGCATACGTCCTGGTATTTACAGCTAGTTTTCATTCAGCTAGAAATCATTCTCTCTTTTTTCTATAGATGCCATATACCCAAACGACCATGTAGTACACCATGATTCACAGCCATTGGCTGATTTTAGCATCGTGAGTAGCATAGTTACCATGGCTACTGCGGGAGAGCGCCACATGCTTGCATTCTTTATCACACTGAAAGTAAGTCAAGTTTACGTGAGAAAAGACTCCATACGCTGCAACTTTTGAGATCTGAAGAGTGCAGGCTTCCGGCAGATAAAGTAAAGAATTTTGTTGCAGTTTAATAATATGTCCAATGATTAAACAACCTAATTAAAAAACACTGGAAAATACTTAGGATGTACTGTACAACCTTCACAATGCCCACACCACGCTTTTCGTGCGGTGAAGCTTGGACTACACATTTGAATGAGTGCAGTTTCTGAAGGCTGCCCTGAGAATCTGACTTCTTGGTTTACCAGAAAAGTATATAAACTGCAAAATTAATCTCTACATACCGAATTAGGGGTTCTGCATCTAAGAAGAAATTGGCAAGCTATTCAGAATCGTTGGAGCTATGGCCGAGTCACGCAGCATAGTCAACTCACAAGTGAAAATTTAAAGAAGCTTAATGCACCCAAAGAACTTAGTCTAACATCGCCAACTCATGGCACGTGAAGTAGTCCGCTGACTTTCATTTTGCTGGGATGTTGCTGGGGGATACACCAGTACCTTCGGGATGCGACTAGAGAGATACACAGAGAATCAGGATGAAGGTACTGCATTGTGTGAAAGACCACCTTCATTCATTGGTTTAATGCTCACGAAAACACAAAAAATAATTCATTCACTGAGAGGACACTGAGCATACAATGCATAACTCGGTCAAGACATAAGTAGGAAATAGCAAAAATTCGCCATGTCGTCATTATGTCACCAAAGACCTCTCAAATTCACCAATTTGGCAAAAAGTAGTCACTGGTGGCAACCCTTGTCATGGCAGACCATAGCATAGACACAGACGCCTACTTTTCGAGATCATGCCAGGTATCTATGATATTATAACAAATTCCTTCCTTAATATTTTTACTTGAACCCATGACAACAGGTGATGCTCTTTTATTCTTGACTTTATTACACAGGCAAGTCCACGATAGCAGCTTTATTAGAACGTTTCTACGATGTGACTGATGGCTCCATTACCTTGGATGGGCACGACTTGAAAGAACTGGATCCTGACTGGCTTCGACGCAATGTGATCGGCTACATTCGACAGGTGCTTATCAATTACTCATTCTCCTTCACTAGTGACAATCAGTGGAAATCACGATCGATGGTTTACAAAGGGTTAGGGAGTATGCTTTAAAATCACTGGTCTTTATGGTTATGCAATCATTTGTGCACTCATGTTTGTAGTTTTCTTGGTAATGAATAACATTTAATTTTCAAGCATTTGCAGCAGACATGCTGACAACAAATCCTATGGAGGGATCAGCGTCTTCATTAATGCTTAAGTTTTACTGCTTGCAGCATGGCATGAAGGTGTGGTTGCCTTAATAATGGCATTAATGTTGTTTGCATTGATTAAAGGAGTTTGTCTAGATTGACGTAATCCTCATGGTAACAGAATGTGAGTGTGTTAGTTGCCATGTGGCATGAGATTTTGCTTCAACATTTCAAAGTTGCCGTGTTTTTATAATTGAGCTCCTGAGCCTTACATTGCATTATTATTCCACTGTTATTATCCATGCATGGAAAAAATTCTATGTATTCGTGCAGTGTCGCAGTACACGCCAAGCAAGAGAAATGATCGAAAAGGCGCACTTTTTGAGCACACAGGCAATGACGTACATGTACATCTTTGACCATCTTGCAGCTGTTAGCGTATGACGTACATGTACAGGGGCCGTCGAAAATTTCCAGGCCACACTGTCATAGGAATACATGAGATTGTGGTCCGCGAACTTTTGACGGCCCCTGTACATTTTTGACCCTCAAAAGGTTAAAAATTGGTTACGTCTGTTCAGAAATGTTAATCGGTGTTTGCCACCTGTGTTTTTTCTTGTGAATGTTTAGTGGACCAGTGTGGCGAGCTGTGAGATATGCCCGGTTTCTGTCGCACATACGTGCTATGGGAGTGTTATAGCAGAGCTGTTATTGTGGTAGAGGTTTGTCATGTACATGTGTTGTAAGATGTGGGGGAAAACAACAATGAAAAGTTAAAAGCCTAGCCAAGCGGGGATGAGCTAGATGCCTACCAGCTCTGCTGTGACCCAGCCTTGCGCGGCTTAGTGGGAGCTGCTCCAATTTCATGAAAGTTAGAACAATCAAGCTGTAAGCTCCATAATATATGTGAATGCTAATACATTTTGAAATTTGCAAGACAATAAAGGCAGGTTTCGTCTCTGCAGGAGCCTTTGCTGTTTGCCACAACAATAAAAGAGAACATCCGGTATGGCAAGCCTGATGCAACCGATGAAGAGGTAGGGAATCGTTTAATCAAACAATAAGCTTCTATTGGTGGAACCACTGGTGGAACCTCTTATGAATATGTGTGAATTTATTGTGACTCTATATTTCATATAGCACTTCTGTGATGAAAACAGCGTTATGTATAGAGTGTCGAGATGGTTCTACAGAAGGAAGTTATCAAGAACCTACAGAGTAGAGGATATAACACAATTTGAGCAGTAATGTAGGGCCTTGTATGAAAGAGAAAGAAGTGCATTTTTATGTCACTTGTGTGTTGTCGCTTATAGTTTTCTTTTAATATATCCAACTTATTATGTAATAGTGTAACAGGTACCTACTAACTTTGAAAGTAAGGTTTGAAATAGTTTCCTAAAAGGGAAGTTGATCAATTTTTTTTCTCGATGTTTCCTATATCTTTCATCTGATGCTCTTATTGTGAGAGGATGCATTTCTAAGCCATATAATTAGTTTTAATGCGATAGCGTTAAAGAGCTCGTTTTGCAGAAATTCCAGTGTCGACATCGTTAGTTGTGAGCAAAAAATCATCTTATGTCTGACTGAAAAATCGAGAATGATGCAAATAAAATAATTGACAAAAAAATCCTGGGTCAAAGTGCGGACTGAACCAGGGTCGCTTGGGTCCGAGTGGGAAACGAACCTGGGTGGTTTGCATGGCAAGTGGACGTTCTAACACACAGCCATGCCTCTGCTTGTGAATGCAGTGAATAACTTCCTCTCCTTGAAAATAAAGTGAATGCAACTTTCATGCCTTAGAAACACACTTGTCCTGTATACATGCTTCACGATAAATCTTGAAATATTGCAGTAATAATGCAATTGCAGTACATTGCAATTGGATATCAGAACAGTTGATTTTCATGTCGACTTCATGGTTTTAAGCCAGTCACCCACTACAAAAGGCACACACGTTACTGTGCCTATTTCCTTAAGGCCACATAGTGGGTGCATGCCAAGTTCAAAAAGATTTCATGCACTAAGTGTTTGAAATATGCACTAGGGACAGCATATGGCGTTCAACTCTTAAAGTTGAAGCCTAAGAATCCGCAATTTTTAATAGTTTAGTACTAGTAAGGATAGATCTTTCTTCCTTGACTTGTGTCCTTTATACTCTTTCTAAATAGTAACTAGATTATGTACTATCATGCACACAGGCTTACAGTAGTCGCTTCAGTTTTATATTGATGTAATGTTTTTGGGGTTGTTTTAGCATTAGTTGGGTAAACTTGTGTTAACAGGCAAGCAGGTCAGAAACTTAGATGAGGTAAAAAAATATATATATGGCAACTAAAAACAAGCGGCCAGTTTTATTCTGTTATATTATCAGATTTTACATACTTTGTGCGCTTCATCTTGTGTGTTTCACACTTTTAGCCTCATCCCTGAAAGGAAAATGAAAATATGTGCTTTGCTGAGATTGGGGTGTTGGCATTGCAGGTGTACAGTGCCGCCAAGCAGGCCAATGCTCACGACTTCATCATGTCGTTTCCTCGCCAATATGACACCATTGTTGGGGAGCGTGGCATCACCGTCTCAGGTGGGCAGAAGCAACGCATTGCGATAGCCAGGGCCTTGCTGAAGAATCCACAAGTGCTCATACTTGATGAAGCCACAAGGTACGTGCTCAAAACATTCTCTGTCTATTATTCTTTGCTTAGCACATTCTTGGCCAAGATCTAGTACTTCATGCAGTCAAACCTTATGATAATGAATTCATACCTAGTGTAAAAATGTTTAATAATAATTGCTTGGGTTTTACACCTTAAAACCATGATGTGATTATAAGGGACGTCATAGTGAAGGGCTCTGGAAATTTGATCATCTGGTGCTCTTAGTGTGCACCTAAATTTAAGCACACTGGCCTCCAGTCTTTCGTCTCCATCGAAATGTGGCTGCGATTCGATCTCGTCACCTTCAAGTCGGCAGTCAAGCACCTTAGCCACTACACCACTGTGGTGGGTCTGAAAACATCTGTGTTATGTCCGATATTGGTAATATAGGAACATATTCATTGTGTGCTAGTGTCTGGACGATAAATGTTATACTCAGTTAGTTTTATTCATATACTATTCATTTGTTCATATATTCAGTGTAAGGGCCACATTTTTTTTTCTGCGATTTTGATGGGGTGCAGCCCTTCCACGAAAGTGCGATATTTTTGTTTAATTTTCGATGCACATATAAAGAAAAACCCGTTCAATTGTACCATATATACCTAATGATGGGACATCTGACATCCAGCTCCGGACATTCTTTCTAAATGTTGTCGAAGTGAACGGCGGCACAAAGGATCAGTGGTGCTGGTGAGAAAAGTGACAAGATCTCCCAGATAGTGCCGCGCACCCGAAGCTCACAGAATAGCATCGCATGTCAAAGCCACAAGACAGCTATTCTCGTTTGGTGGCTCCCGCGAAGTGCGCCGTACGCCAGATGCGACAGTGGTGCCGTTTGCTGGTGAGATTTTAATTTTTTTATTATTTTTTACTCAAAATTTTGACTGCCAAGGAGCGGCCCATACACGAGCGCGGCCCTTAGTCAAGTTTATGTGGTATTTCTCATATCCGCATTCATTTAGAACAGACAGTCAAGCCAAAGAAAGTATAGGGTATGTTGGTACCCAGTATCCATGTGTCTACATTGTGTAATATTTTAATTACCATCGTTTTCAGTGCACTGGACACTGAATCAGAAAAGGTAGTCCAGGCAGCCCTCGACAAGCTGAGCAAAGGTACGGCATCATCTTGTACACATTGGTTATAATGGGCTGGGTGCTATGAACTGCAATAACTTGAAAAAGCCTACGGTTGAACCCAATTATAAGAGATGCTAATGTTAGAGACAACTGATTATAAGATATTCCACTGTGCCCAACATCGAAATAAGGGTTCATGAGAAAATGAGAGTCTGTCAACCTGCTGACAAGAAACATCTCTTACAACAGACAAGAACTGCTCCTTGGTGCATGTCTCTCATAAAGGGTTTCAGCTGTATATTTGTATAAAAAGCTTTTCGCACAGTGTAAGCAGCTGTTGCTTTGCACAAGGCATTCTTGGTTGACTTGGTGTTGTTTTTCCAGGTCGAACTGTTCTCGTCATCGCACATCGGCTGTCTACCATCAGAAATGCCGACATTATTGCTGTCTTGCTTGACGGGAACATTGTTGAGGTAATACCCGGTTTGGTATTTAGTTTCACAACTGCTGCAGTGACGCTTGCTTGAAATACTGCCACAGTGAAACGTGCAAATTTTGTTCATTAACAGTATGAAATTTATGATGTTGGATGCATTGAATCAGAAATTGTCAAGGTATTATATGAAAAAAAGAATTTTAGAGGGCTAGCTTCTTCATTTGACACAACGTTAATAAAAAGCAGCAAATAATGAAGCCAACAAAAGTATAAAGGACATTAATTATGCTGTTTTAGGTGTATAGTAGTAGCAATGGTGATATAGATGTTAAAAAAGTAAAGAACGAAAAGACTACTGCCACTGGTAGGAACCAAACCTGCAACCTTCGGAGTTCGCACCGATGCTCTTACAAATGGAGCTACAGTGGCAGTCGTCCCCTCGTCAACTTTGTGGGGTATTTATGTGCATGCAAACCCTGGGAGTGTTAGCGAGCATTGCTTGCAGCCATGATGGCAAACTAGGAACACTCTTTCTTTGCCAAAACTGTGATCTTTTCGTCCCCTTTAATTTTTTCACATCTACTATCAATCCGGGATATATCAAATTTTGACATAACGAATTATTGGTTATGTCGAACAGTTGAAAAGTCTCCTTGAATTTCCCGTGCAAAAGTATGAGACCAGTGCAGCGGTATATCCAACTCCGTATGTCCTGCGCAGAGGAACATCTGCTATGTCCAGCCGAAACCCAGAATGTGCATTTTTCCTAGCAAATAATGATCTATTGTCAGCCGCATTTTAACAAGCTTGAATTCGTTTGCGTGTGCAGGTGACAAAAAGGCGGTATTATTCCATTGCGCTGAGTTGGTTCGTTGCGTGGCACTTGTGAGTGCAGTGGTATGTTTGATGCACAGTATGTAGGTCTTAACTTGCAGGCATAGTATTGCCGAGGACACCCAAATGAGAATGCAAAGTGATTCGGCGGTCTTGTTGCAATGGTTTCATTCCCTTCCTTGTTTGTCTCTGTAGCTCCTTGCCTGTCGATGTAGCTTGTGTGTCGATGTAGATGACGATGTAGCTGTTTCTGACTGCATTGACGCTGAGATCTGTTGCCAGTGCCGTGGAAGTGTACCCGTGCAGTTCTGAATACGCCAACACCTTGGCTTTTGCCACTAACTAACCTCTGCTGTGTTACAAAGCTTGTATTGACATTCTGCATCAATCAACGCTGTTGTGGCGGAAGGATATGAATTTCTTTATTTAAAAAGCTTCAGTGATATTGAAAATGACTAGTGCTTGGTGGGACGCAAGAAGCAAGACAACTTTACGGACTATTTTCATGCAAAATAAAGTGTGATAACTTACAGTTCACACCTTGTTCTTCATTATACTGTGAGTGAACGGTTATTTTAGCTCTTGTAACAATTTCTGAGGCCTGAAATACTCTAATTTAGGCCTTAAATGTGCATATTTTATATTTTGAATTATCAATATATCGAACTACTTTGGGATATTCTTCGAGTTCAATATATCCGGCATCGACCGTATATCGCAGTTACTATGACACATTCAAAACAGTATCCTTAACGTAATGTACACTTTCTTTGGCTTCATTATCTACTGGTATTCATTAAAGTATTATAGCAGTATACTTATTATTTTGTCTACTGCCAATTTGGCAGCCAGGTATAGAACAATTTTTATGGAAAATCTACCACTTTGGCAGGTCTTCTTGTGTAATAGTCCTGCTAACAATCTGCATTTAGTGCTATCTTTTCTTTTCACCCTTTACTAAGTTGTGTGCTTGTCTGGCTGACAACTCCCATGTGTGGGAGAGCCAATTTGTGTGCTAGGAAAGAACAAGTACAGATGCGCTAAAGCGATCGTACATCTATGGGAGAACAAGAGTGAAACATGGCAAACCTATCTTCCTTGAGACAACTCCATGAAGGATACTGTACTTGCAGGATGCACCGACAGCACTTGCAGTTTGTAAATGGGGTATGCTTCTGCCCGAAGAATGCCTTACGTGAAAAATTGCATTAATTTGACGCTTCTGTAAATTTCTGCATCACGAGTCTATTTCAGCACCTGAGTCATGTTAATTTCTCTTGCATCTGCTTAACAAATGCAACGAAAACTTGCAATGAGTTGTGTGAAATTTATGGCTGTTTGTTTAGATATGTGGTGGATTTAATGTGTAGTTTTAGTGGGTACATTGTAAAGGTGGGTCCACTGTATTTCTGGTTAAGATCAAAGGATGTTGAGATTGTTCTCTTTCATCCATTGAGCTCTTTTCCTTTCTGCTTCAGATTGGAGATCACAAGTCTTTGACAAGGTTAAAGGGTGTTTACTGGAAGCTTACCCAACATCATGGACTTCCGAGAGGAATGGGTTGATTGGAAAAATTTGTTTTCACCGACGTGTTGTTTGTTTTCATAAACGAAAAAAATATATATATATTAGGCCTAAGCAGTTGTTTATTGTTTTGTTATTCTTAACCTTCTCTGCGCCCTGTGTAATGTCACCCCATACACTTTATATCAAGAACACAGAGATGTTTCATTAAGGGACGCATTTAACAGTTATGAATGATAGAGATCTGAATTTTATGAAGATGTGACTTACATCATGGAAGTTACACCCTTGGAAGCTGTAGGCGGAGGCATGCGCACGGGGAGCAGGTGGCGTGACCGTCCTCTCTAGCCATCTAGGGGGGCTGCTAAGTAATCTCTATATTTTGACATAATACCGAGGGGTGCCAGGGCGATTCCTAGGGAGAGGCACGAAGTCAGCCCCTCACACTGACATAACAGGGAGGGGTTGCTGCGGCAAACCTTCGCCCCCCTCCCCACTGAACCCTGCAGGTGTGTATGAAAGCCCCACGATCGAGTACAGCTGGTGCACGCATTAAACGAAAAATGTTCTCACTGAAGTGGAGCATGTCAAACTAGGGGAGAGGGAAAGATGCAAAGAAAATGAGAAAGTAGAGAAAGAGGGCAGAGAGAAAGAAAGCCATAGAAAGACAGAAAAAAAATAAAAATGAGAAAAATAAATGGGAACAAGGACATCATGTTATAGAAAGACAGAAATAAACGGAAATAAAAAAAGAAGGAAAAAACAAAAAAGAATATAGAAAAATAGAGAAAGATAGACTGAAAGAAAAGAAAAAAACAGAAAAAAGCAAAGAAAAAGAAAGGGAATAATTAAAAATAAAGGTAGAAGAGCAAGAAAGAGAAAATAAAATGGAGGGAAGCAGATACGTAAGGTCACAGTTTCACTGCAAGGTCAGAGCAATGAATGCAGTATTGAAAAATTGGAATATTACTACAAGGGTGGCAAGCAGCTCAAAACTTGCAGTGCGCTGCTCAAGCACAAAAGGCGCACGAGAAGAACACGGACAAAACGAGCATAAACTAACAACTGTAACAGTTGCTACTTTGTGTTTAAGCAATGCGCTCCTTTTGCAAATGTGGTCATTGCAGCGAGTGAAGGGACCACCGTTCCCCCTCTATCTTCAACGCAAATCTTGCAGTGAAAGCGATAGATGTACAAACCTCACCGTTTGTGAGATAAACATGTGCGACAACGCCTTGTAGGGCAAAGTACAGGTGGTAAGTTAGAATTAGCGCACACATCACAACGAGCGGGGCAACGACCTTTAAAGTGCACCTTTCGCGCTATCTCGCTGGGGACAAAAAGAACACGCAGGAAAGCTTCTGAGCTCTTTGTATCGCCAGCGGTAAATGATTTAATCAAGCCCGCTTATAAGGATGCTGGTTTTAACAACATATCGGTTATAACAATGAGAAGCTGATCTCCCGTCAATTTTTGTCTGTTTTCGCTGGTTAGGAGTCGGTGTTCTTGATTTATTCCGAAAAAATCCGATAATCACTCACCGGTAAATTTGTTTCCAATTCAAGTTTATCCAATAAGCTTTGACTTTTAAAGGGAATTTTCACAACTGACAATCATCAGTTGCATGTAGCGCACCTCCGTTATTGGCAGTAACCACGTAAAATATGCTTGGTTCTTTTACAACAGGCTTTAATGTTGTAATACAAACAAACCCAGGTGTTTAGTATTTAGGTATGTTTTCTCGTATGTGTACGAGTTAGCGCAATCAAACCTTCCGGACATCGAAGATACACTTAGGATGTTCACATGTTTTCGTGTTGAGAATGATGTTATTAATAGGCTCTTCATTTTTCATTGAGAAAAGGATGGAGACTTGAAGAAAAAGCTCAGGAGGGGCTTGACTAGCTCCTTCTCTGCCCAGAAGTACGCTTAGGTGAGTTTACAGCAGAGCACACCAACAGCCTCATCAACAGGGTAATTGAACGAGCGAGTGAGACAAAGCGAAAGGACGGAAATACGTCTCTATCTGCAGCAACGAATCACACTTCCATTGGGATTAAAATTAATGACATTCCAACTTATATTACAAAACTGAATGCCGAATTTCGGAGAAGACAAGATTGCAAAATGTGTCATTCATATCAGAGAGGTTTAGAACATTGCAATGCAAAGCTTTGTGTTTACGTTGTACATGCGTCATATACGACAACCTCTTGTGGACTTCCATAGAGCGACGAATGCTAACAATACATCCACAATTCCCTCAAGATTTGCATACGCTAATCTAAAGCTATTTGCTCGGCCGAAGCTGTCGAGCTTGTGCGCTAGAGAAAATCCGGTTGAACGCAAACCACGTGGGTGCGATACGAGGCACCGCGAACCATTTAATTGTGCTTTGCGTTAAGGTTGTAGCCTATTGCAATTCACTTAGATGTCGCGATGAGCCCGACAGGCTAAGCAGGCATCAATAAGAATGCCATGAACGATCGCTTGCGATAGCACAGGTACAACGTCGAAAAGCTCGTCCTGTTGCCGTGTATTGTACATGTTGTGGTTGCGAACCTCTGTTCCGGGCCCTTAGCCAAGCGGCTGCGCCCCAGGCCCCCACCCACCCTCCGAAATTTTATTGGAGGGGCTGTTTTACCGAGGAAAAATAATAAAAATAGGTGCTTCTTAAGGCCTTCAACCTTTTTAAGCCTTTAATAGGCTTAAAAATAGGCCTTTTTAAGGCCCCAAGCCGGGAAAAACTTCCTGGCTACGGGCTGCTTGGGTCGACAGCGTACATTCACTGGCCAGAAATTCTGACCAGCTCACGATGGAAATCATTGAAGCAGTGGCGATTAATAGTAGAGACGCTGTAGTAAGTTAACCATCAACCTGTTTATCAGAAGAGCAAATGCCGTTTCTGTCGCATCAGCCACCAGTTCGATTTGCTAGGGTCATTTGCTTTGGGTCCCCCCCACCCCCTCTCATCGTCTTTAGATGTGAAGCAACTTTTGCTCGGGGCTGTATCTGTCACTCGGCGACCGTCCGCTCCTCCACTGCGCGTGCAACAACTCTCCCCTTCTCCTCGCATGAGCACGAAGATGTGGGAGGTGGTGGAGTGGAGAAGCGCTGCCTCCGTTTCGTTTCTCCTCCCCCATTCACCTCTCCGCCCCAGCTCTACGCTCGTATATAATGCTGCGCTCGCTTGCTCCGTTGCCCTCTCCTAGCAGCTCTGTGTGGTCACGCGGTAATACACACAAATCGGAGAGGGAGTGTGCCGTAGGTGGCACACAACATATACTTAACTCCGCACACAAATTAAACATTCACGGAAAATTACCAATGGAAGCAGCAAACAGAAACACAAGTGAACACCAGTTCTATTTTGCATCCCCACATGGCTTCCTTTAGTGGGAGATGGCGTAATTTTTTTTTCTTAGCCTGATGTTGTCCATATATGTGTGACCACGGGCAATAAACACCAAGTTTTCAGCGCTCTGTCCGATCTTGCTCTTTCTCCGACCCTGTAATTCTTTGCCCTACTTACTGCCTGAATTATGTACTTACCAACTAGCCCACCAGTCTGTCCTGAGCTTTGCAGTTCTCATCGTTTTGCCAACACAACCACTACCAGATCCAGGCTCTGCACCGACGTGCTGCTCTATCGATGACGTCACATGTGACGTTGTTTTTTTTTAAGTCACATGACCCCAAGCTCTTGGGCACCGTCCTTCCCGATCGTGACAACTGTACGAATTATCCCACCTTGATGGACTTTTCAAAGAAGTTATTGTCGTTTTTGAGCCCTTCCGAAGTTGATGAAAACATTATTGATGCATGCTGTGAGAGGTTGATGCTTCTCGAGTCATCTCAGAAGCAAATGAAAGTTTTAGTGAGCACCAACTCATGTCAAACGTAGGAAGGAAAGTGTGCACTTGGGGACAATTCTACGACTCTGGACGTTGTATATAATGCTGCGATATTGTCAGATTTCGCCGCTGTTGAACTGTGCTTGGCCCGGAGGGCTGGTTGGCTTACAGGCCTGACCACACGCACGCGTTACAGCGCGTCAGTGCGTGGCTTTCTGACGCGGCGCCCTCTCCCTATGGAGAGAGGGCGCGTGGCCACGCGAAGCTTCGCGCCCTCTCTCTCACTCTCAATAGGGAGCGGGCGCGGCACTGCGTCTAAAAAAACCACGCGCTGCAACGCGCACGTGTGGTAAGGCCTCCAAATGACGCCATCGCGAAATTTCGCTGTCGTATGCTGTGATCGTACGCCTTCGTCGTCGCATGGCGTGTACACTCCTTCTGCAATACATTTAGCGTGCGCTCGCGTCAAAAGGAAGTCGTTTTCCTTTTGTTCTTGAAGCACCATGAGGATGAAAAGTGTGGAGTACTTCAAGGGCCCGGGTTGTCGTACGCTGTCGTCGCCTGACGTAGCGCAGGCAGAACCACGTATAAGGAAATAGAAAAATAGCAAGAGGAAGACGCTGTGAAAGAGAAAGGAAGAAATGAGGAGAAAGAGGAAATATAAAATGAGAAAGAGAGAAAATGGAAATAGAAAAAAAAAGCTCCAGCTACAAATACATTAGATCAAGCATACAATTTTTTATGTAATCTGCAATATTTCTATTATATACCCTACATTATTCTAAAACTTCATACTACCACTCAATTCATGGCCAATCCCCCACAGTTAATAGGTGAACGAAAACAAGCAAAGCTGCCCAGTTCCGCACTTCTTCCATTCTTTCAGGCTTGACCCCACTAGGGCGAAGCTGCTTCATTTTTTTTTTTAAATCTCAATCGATGTACCGATTCTTCCACGCCCACCCCCTAAAGTTTGCTTCACCTAACGTGGTTTTGCACTGCCTCCAAGATCGGAAGCATTGCGAGCTTTCTAAGAATCACCCAGAATTGTGCATTCGTGATCGTCCCAGTTCGACAAAGCGATGATGTCGTCACGATTGTGCCATGTGGTGACGTCATCACGACATTATGACCATTTGCGTAACTCGTGTTGACGCCACCGATTGTCACTTTTCGTGCTTCATGAGGCATCTAAGACTTTCGCCTTAACATGGCGGAATTGGACAGCGTGTCTTCTCTCTGTCC